GACAAGCCTTCCTATTAAGGCTTGACACGCACTCTAAACCTACCATACTGCATTAAATGAAYATTTAATGCACTGGGTATAAATAGAAGTGTTTTCTTCTCCATACAGAGTGCGCATCACTCTCTTACTCATTCTTACTTTAAGCTTCTTTCAGCTTAAGTAAAAGAACCCCCCAGCAATATCTTCTCTTATATTTTGCTAATCTTTGTGTGTATCTAAAGGTTGTTTAGATAGGTTTCTCTCAACYTATCTTTCCRCAAACAATCTTGTAAAATATGTATTGATCTTCTTTATCAATATATATTTTAAATTTGAAAATTATGTTTGTATTCATCACCCCCCTCCTACAAACTGTTTAGTATTCTTGTAGACCCTTTTGGGACCAACATAACACCACACATTACACTGATTTTATTGGATTAAAGGATCAATCCACTTCAAAAAAAAGATGGATAACCTTCATTGGAGGTTGTTCTAAGTCAACCAAGAGGAGGTTGTTCGAAGCTTGTGACAAAGTAGTAGACAATATTATATCAAATTCAAAGATGAAAAGATCATATGTAGGTATTACTCCTCCGAAGTTTGATCTGAGTATTAGTCCAATAAAGCAACCGAAACCTGTTTCAATGGTATGGCGTGAAGAGCTGGAAGGTCCTTCACTCACCAGAAATAGTAAAGGGTATAGAAAGAAGTTCTCCAATGAAAAGGTGTAATGTAGGATCATCTAATGATGCAAACGACCAACAAGTGGAGCGAGCGACTCGACGAGAACTTAAGTTGGGTGACCATTTCAGATCCCCATATGTTATCAAAGCAGTCGACATGAATGTGACAACAGAGGAAAAAAAATCCATGAATGGGCATTAGCAGGGCTTGGAGGAAAGTAGTAAGTTAATCATGATATGTAAACTTCTTTTATTACATAATTTATACCATGGTATTCGTCTTAAGATTATATTTATCATTTTGTTCTTTTTAATTGCAGTAAATTATTGTTTTCAACACCAAATGATATGAAGCTACATTGTCACGCAATTGAAAGTTTGGCTCGTACAACTACAATGTACATAAGTGTGATAGACGCATGGGCAACATTGCTTAACTATGAAGAATGGTATCGGAACAGGGATTCATTGCGTCGTTATTTTTTTAACACTGAAGTTATGGTATGTGAGTAGGAAGTACCATAAATAACATATATTTCTTGCATAACATCTAAATTTATATAACCCTCAATACATCATGCTTTATTACAGGGATACTTTAAGCTAAGATCTAGGTGCATCAACCATAATACCCAATACGCACTATTCAAAAAGGGCTTGTTGTCTTCTGCAAAAAGCAACTAGGAAGTCGTACAAATGCGTAACATGGACCTGGTACGTTTTGTAACTTTAAATTGCTTAATCAGTGTTGAATATGTACCAATTTTGGTTTCATTATATCAATCGCTACATATATGGATTGAATTTGGTTTCATTGTATATGAAGATACATTGGACCAGTGTTCCTATAGGTTGTCAAGTGAACTATACCGTTTCATGGGAAAGTTCAAGCGAAGCTGACCCTACAGTCTTAATTTACTGGATATTTGTTTAGCATTTAAAGTTTTGGAAACCATTGAGACCACCATAAATGAATTGTACAAGCTAGATGTAAACAACATCAGTGGCAACAGTGCTGATTCTATAAACAGACGTAGAGTCACCGTTGACACTCCATGTGAGGATTCAATAAATAAAGATGACTGGTCCAACATACATTATTATACAAAATGGATTGAAGCTGGTTTCATATAAATGCATTGTTATAATCTAAATGCATTATTATAAGATTCATATTGTTGTCAATTAATTATGTTTAATGTTAATCTAATATCACTAGTCGAATTTGACATTGACAAATTAATGAAATAACGAGTATTCTTCCCGTTATTTGATAAGGGACATTATTATCTAGTGGTGTTCAATCTAAAAATCCATCGATTGTTGTCATAGACAACAAATATTGAGAGGTGTCCGATGACGACCACCTTCTACAAATGTATGACTTCATAATGGACATTCTGGTATGAATTAATTACCAATGTAGAACTGCAATTTTTAATAAAATTGAATACTATGTGTTAACCATTTCTTTCTGTTTATGCAGCAAAGGTTGATGATTAGGCATTTGAATACGGTAGAACATGCAGCGGGAAAAGAATTAGATGAAATAGGTCAAGAGAGGTTGAGAATGGACTGGCAGACACAACACAACTTCGAAGACTGTGGAGTGTTTGCAATGAGACATGTGGAGACATATATGGGAAATATGAGAACATGGAAGACTAGACGGGCACCAAAAAGGTAAAACACGAGAATCAAATAGCAAACCTTTGGATGAAATGCGTAACAAAGTTATTGGTTAGCAACTATACCAACAAGAAGGAGTACGTCGTTAAGAAAGTTGAAAAGTTCCACTCAATCGATGATGTCATATGTGCAAATATAAGGAAACATGTTCACGATACAAGAGTTGAGAGACTTCAAATCTGATTGATGGATGCTCTTTAATTTTTTTTCATGTAGACGCATTTAAGTACTTACTTCCGGTATTGAATGTTCTAGTTTTTTTAAACATTGTGCTTTTGGCATTTCAACGTTATGGTATGCATTTGACATTTTGATGAAAATATTGTGTTCCATATCGTCGTAAATTACACTCTCATGTTCATATGATGTATTTGTCACTTGTATGATATAAATCAAGGTGTAACATTTCACCGTTGCATCTATTTAACTTTTTGTTGGTCTCCGAAACAAGTCATTGATCGTTTGTTTGTTGGCAATGGCATAAAATAACAGCAAATAATGACAAATGTGGTCCTAACGAGGATAATAAATATTCGATTTCATGGTTTTGCAACTTGTCAGACCATGATCACGTATCATCGAGGAAAGTTAAGTTGTTACTCTATCCTTATCATATTAATGAAACCAGATTCAACTAAAAGAAGTTTTTGCTTCACTAACATAATTGATGAACCCAGATTCACCATATTCAACTAAATCAAGAATAACATAATTGATGAACCCAGTTTCATCATAATCATGTGTAGTCATTTAACTTTTTTACTCTAACATTAACATATTAATGAAACCATATTCAACTAAATCAAGAAGTTTTTTGTTTCATTGACATATTGGTGAAACCAGTTTCATTAGGACACTACTAGAAGAGTACTCGTGCAATGCAGCGAGATAAATCTTCATTTTAATGTTTAGTTTTTATTATTTGTCCCTATCGATATAATACGATTTTATGTGTTTTTGAGAAAACGATAATGTTTTTATTTTTGAATGAAATATAAATTTGAAGATAGCATAATTTTTTTTTAAAATAAAATCGATATTAGTATTAAACTAACTATTTAATAGTTCTCTTTTTTTTAGTGTAACTTCTTTAATTCAGTTTTTTTATAATTTAATTTAGGTATAATAACAACGTAATTTATTTTTTGTTTAATAATATAATTTTATTAAAGATAATAATTAAACATTCGGTTAGAAACTCAATGATTATCTTAATTATATTTTAGATTTTCTATATTTAAAATAGATGTTAATCCTGTATTTGATTATGTTTATTTACAGTTAGTTATACGAATTTAAAAATGAAACTTTAATAAGTTATACTTATGCAAAATCACTTGTAATTATGAATTTCAAGTAATATGCATCAATAAAAAGTATTTCATGCATAAAAAATGAGTTTTAAGAGTTTTTGTCAAATGCTTTATAATATAGTATAGATATAGATTATGTGTTTTTAAGAAAACAATAATGATTTTATTTTTGAATAAAATATAAATTTGAAAATATCATAAAACTTTGAAAAAAAATATATCAATGTTAATATCAATCAACTATTTAAAGTTCTCATTTTTTATGTAATTTCTTTAATTTATTTTTTTATTATAATTTTATTTAAGTTTAATAACGAAATAATTTGTTTTTGGTTTAATAATATAACAATTTATAAAGATAATAATTAAGTATTCTATTAGAACTCGATCATTATCCTAATTATATTTTAGATTTTTTATATTTAAAATGAGATGTTTATCATGTATTTGATTATGTTTATCTGCATTTAGTTACACGAATTCAGATATGGAGCTTTAATAAGTTGTGCTTACGCACAATCTACTTGCAATCTTGAGTTTTAAGTAATATGTATTATTAAACAGTACTTTATGCATAAAAAGTGGATTTTAAGAGTTTTTATCAAATGCTTTATAATATAGTATAGATAAAAGTTTTTGGTTCACTAACATAATTGATGAACCCAGATTCACCAGGGGATTATAATCCATTGATTTGTCATATAAAACTGCATTTACAAATGTCATTATGATTAATTTAAACACTATAATCCAATGAACTAAAACCCAACAGTATAATCCAATAACATCTTAAAATGAAATGATATGAAAAATTCAAAAAGATAAATTAAGTGGAATCACGTTTCGTATAATTCCGTGAATCATGTTTTTTGCCGTATGAAATTGCTTTCTCCGTAGTGCTAATAAGTCTCTTACGAGTCCCACCACCTTTATTTCGTATACCTATTCCATGAATCCAATTTTTACGCTTCAAAAATATAACATTTTTTTATAAAAAGGAATTTTAACATATTAAACAATAAACATGAATTATATAAATTTAAAATAAAATATGATAATTAGGCATGAAAAAAACCGTGTCTTTTAAAACCCAAAAAAATGGTAAAATTACAACGAAGTTGGTCTAAACAACTCCGCCGACACACCTTCTTTTTACCGTCTCTCCGTCCTCTTCAATTTCACCAAATCTCTTTCCGCAACCGTCGCCGGCGAGCTTCTTTCTTTTTCCGATCTTAATATCTGACTTACTTTCGAGGATCAACCTGACAACATACGAATTTATGCCATGGAAGATGGGGGAGTTTCTACGGAGTTGTTTTTCTTATCACAAACCTAGAAAAGAKAAGATCCCATGGTGCTGATCTTGCGCTTATTGTTGGAATCGGTGGTCTCGGAATTATTATATCATTCATAATCAGGTAATTCTAATTCCTTCAATTTATTTTACGATTTAATTCATACTCGCAGTTAGGGTTCGTGTTGCAACTCCATGTTTATTGCTTTGTTTTTACCTAATATTTGTAGGATTTATAACATATCATCCCTAAAATACATGTAATTCTCGTGTCTGATCTTTCACTTAGTTAAATATTATAGGGTTGTTAAATTTGGGGGTTTTTGATTTATATGTTTGTGCATATGGATTCCAGCAGCTTTGGTTGGGGATTGTATAGTTGCATATGGATATGTAAAATTGCAAGTATACGGTTATGGAAAAGTGGGGTTTCTTTCATATGGATATATACCGATAGATTAGAGGGATAATCATTAAAATGACCATATTGAAGTGGTATATATCCTTTACGTTTAGAAGAAAACTCTAAATAGATGGAAAATTAGAAAACACTTAGGGGCCGCTTACCTAAACACTTACCTTACCGGTAAAATTCAATACTATCGCTTACTTACTCGGTAACTGGGTAAGATTTTATTCACTAAAAGGCATTGTATGCAACAATTTATCCCGGTAAGTGTTAATCATGGTAAAAGTTCTCATCTTTACTTACTGGGTAAGACTCTCGATTCTTACCTTCGCTCTTACCGGGTAAGATTTTTAGTCCTTCCCATATTCATCCGGTAAAGTAAAATGACTTGGTAAGCGCTTACCCGAGTAAGCGTATGGTAAACGACACCTTAGATTAAATTTAATAAATGTGATTAAGCGAGCGGTTACAACAATATCTTTTAGATTAAAAAATCTCAACCCCCTAATTTTTTTAATTTGAAGAAAGACTAAAAATAAACAAAAAAATCATATTATTTCTTGTTATTGACATCCATAATATATTTTTTCATATTCTTTTCATGGCTTTCTGTTTTCGACTTATTTAACGTTTTCCTGAAGTTGACCCTATATATAGAGAGAGCGAGAAAGAAAGTGAGAAGGGGTGGTTATTTTGCAACCTTTAAGGGTTTATGTAACAAACGTAAAACTGCTTTTATTGAAAGATCTTTTCTGAAATATTTTTATTGAAAGTTATAGATTATCTTATTACGATCGCATAGGCAAAAATCTCATCGAAAACGGAGGTCCGAGCAAAAAGTTATGATTTTTTTTAGTGTTTGGTAGTCAAATGGGCCTCAACCGGGCCAAATCCGGCCCAATTCGGGTTTAAGTGACTAAATGGACGAAAATTGATCTTATTTTCCCCAAATCACTTCTAAAACCCTCACACACACTTAAGGTACGATTTTCACACACATAAGCCCAAACACATTCAATTCTTGAAGAATCAAAGCTCAAACGGATGAATTCTTGATGTTTATGTGAAATTTATTGAAGGTATGCTTCTAATACTAAGTTTAATCTTTGTAAATTGTAATTAGTGTTAATTAAGGATATTAGGGTTTGCATGTTTGTGATTAGTGGTTAATTTTGTAAGATTAATGTTATATGTTGGTTATTATCTTGTTATCTTGAAGAAAACATGGATTAATTATAAGTGTTAAGTATGGAATTCATGAAGGAACTTGTATTAGGCATGTTAATGGTGTTTAAGATGGGTAAAAGGTGCAATCATGAATCTGGTTCAAATTTGAGTATGGTTCAATAAAATTCAGGTTATATGAATTACTATCATCGACAGATTTTGACATTGACAACTTGATGAAATGATAGGTATTATTCCCGTTACTGGATAAGGGACACTATTATGTTGTGGTGTTCAATTTGAAAAACCCATCGGTTGTTGTCATAGACAACAGATATTTAGAGGTGTCCGATGATGATCAACTTCTACAGATGTATGACTTCATTACAGACATTCTGGTATGAATTAAATATTAATGTATAATTGTATTCTTTATTAATATGATATACGATCTGTTAGCCATTTCATTCCGTTTATACAACAAAGATTGATGATCAGGCATTTGAATGCGGTTGGACATCCAGCGGGGAGAGAACTAGATGAAATAGGCCAAGAAAGGTTGAGAATGGATTGGCAGACACAAAACAACTTTGATGATTGTGGCGTGTTTGCAATGAGACAGATGGAGACATACGTGGGAGATGTGCGAACATGGAAAACTGGACTGGCATAAGAAGGAAAAACACAAGAGAGCCAAATAGCCTCCCTCGTAATGAAATATGTAGCAAAGTTATTGGTGAGCAACTATAACAAGAAGAAGGAATATGTCGTTAAGGAAGATGAGAAGTTCCAATCAATGGATGAAGCCATCCGAAAAAAGTTAAGAAAACATGTTGACGATAGAAAGACTGAGAGACTTCGAATCTGATTGATGGATGTTCTTTTATATCTTTGTCATGTAGACGGTTTTAATAACTTGATTTTGGTATTGAATTTTCTAGTTTGTTTAAACATTATGCTATTGGCATGTTCGACGTTATGAAATGTATATGACATTTGATGAAAATATTTAGCCAAAACATTGTCATATGAATGGTGAACCCAGATTAACACACCTGTTAATTAAACTTGTTTCATTAGTAATAATGCAAACCATATAGATTAACAATCTTGAATAACATATTTAAATAAGCACTTTGATGAACCCATGTAGTGCAAACCATATCCATCCAAAAGTACATGATTATTGAAGCAAGACTAACACATGGAGATGAACCCCTATTCATCAGAATCACAAGTACCCACATAACTTTTTCCAACTACCCAGAGGGTAAAATGAAATCATATCCAACTAGATCAAAAGTTTCTTGATGTATGTAAAAATAATGCAAAACATAATGATCCATATATTTGGTGATTAACACATGTGGTGATTCCAGATTCACAATAAGAATAATATGTATCTATTTTCATCAGAATCATATGTACCCACTTAGCTTTTTACACCTACTTCAACCAGTAAAATGAAACCATATTCAACTTTATTAAAAAAAATTAGAGATTCATTAATAATTTGATGAAACTAGTTTAAACATTGTAATACAGTTAACTAAAACACAATAATATAATCCTATAACGTGTTGAAATGAAATGTCACCAAAAATTAAAAGGCATAATTTAAGTGAAATCACGTTTTGAACAATTCCTTGAATCATGTGTAGCAATTTGACGACATAACCGACACTTTCTCTTCTGCTTTTTGCCATTCGTGATTGCTTTCTCGGTGACGCTAATAAGTCTCTTACCAGTCCCACAACCTTTATTTTGTATGCTGGTTGGAAGTAGAACATCAATAGTTTCGGGTTGAGATACTCCAAGAAACTCTTTAATAGATGATGTTGTCTCTTGAGCGTGTGACTGTAGAGGAAGTTCACTATCAATCTTTGTATCCCATTCTTCAAGTTGGTCAACAAATTTTGACAAAATATGTTTCTCATTTCGCACTCGACCTAGAATACGTTCAAAATACGAATAAGCAACACTCATCAACCTCTCCTTATCAGCGTCAACTTCCTCATATCTGAAACGTGCTGGTGACCACTCCACTGGGACTAGATTGCGTCTCCAACGACGAACTATATATTTATCTGGAATTCTATCAACCTCGTCATTTAACATTACCTTAAGAGCGTGATGACATAAAATTCCGTTACGAACAAAACAGTTACAGGAGCAATCATACAAGTTTTCCATCTTGTTCTTGACAAACTATTATATGGGAAACCAGATCATATTAGGAAGTTAAAATAGGATTCTACTATTTGAACTGTTTGGCAAAATTGGAAAATTAAGAAATAACTACCGTGTACTTTGTTGTGATCTTAGAAGCTTTGTTTTTGTGTGTTATGGTGTACACTCGGGTTTCACCAACGTCGGTGAATCCATCTCATCCACAAAGCCAAACAACCTTTCTTAACTCTTTTTGAAACTTCAAAAAATATCTTTCGTGTATATACTTCTGATGCATGAGCTTCTAACTTGCAAGGGGACACCAATCGAGGAATCGTGCTCTTGGTTGTAACCTCTAGCGACCCATGTATCGTCCGTTGGCTTTCAATTGTATTATCAAAATAACGAATAAAAATGACAAGATTGTGCCAAAAATATGCATAAACATTAAAAAAAGCATTGATACTCTCCGACCTGGATGTTTTTTTTCATTAGACCGAACATATGATAATCCTTATAATAAGCCGGAATCCATGACTCCCTAATCTCATACAGTTCATCAAACTATGAGTCTCCACGTAATCCATACAAATCCATCATGTTGTTCCATTTCATCTCAAATTCATCAGGGACAAGGTGAACGTTCCACACCAACTTATTAAATTCGCTAACAAACGGCATACGATGTTGGAGGTAATTACTGATCTGCCACATACACGATTAGAAGAAAAACTTAAAAAAATGAAAAAAAAAATGAAAACAAAAAAGTTTCATCGTAATTACGTTAGATTTAACCTTTTTAGTGATATGCCACATACACAATCGATGCTTGGATTCAGAAAATGCAATGAGAATTGTTTGTTTCATCGACGCACATTGGTCAGTGATCACAAAACGTGGTTGACGTCCATGAGCTTTTACAAAAGCTTTTAATACCCAAATGTAATCAACCACAGATTCATTGTGAATCAAAGCAGCTCCAACAACGACATATTTCTTATGATTATCAATTGCAACGAACATAACAAATATCATAGCATGCCTATTAAAATTAAACATTATAAATTAATACAAGTTATAACATGTAATATAGATAACACAAACAAACAGTTTCATATCAATTGTAACTTATTTATTCGTCCTAAACGTTGCATCAAATGATATTACATCACCAAATTCCCTATAATTCGATCGCACAATTTCATCAGCCCAGAAAATTGCTAACAACTCCTTATCATCACATTTGTACTCGAAAAAAAACTCAGGACACACCTTCCTCCTATTAGACATCACGTTTAACAACATTTGCACGTCTTTATTGCCAACAAAATAAGTCATATCGTGTTTGAAGTTTTCATGATCTCTTACGGTGCCACCCGAGCAATCTACACCATCCATAATTGCTTTCCTAAATCTATGAGATTTAGTGACACCAACCTTCGAACTAGAACCATGAAATACATTTTTGTGATCAGCGTAATGTAGTTGCCTTTTAGAACGTGAAAACCTCATCTCCTCCTTATTAAAAAGCATGTGATTGTGTTGCTCAATAAATTTGTAAACTTCATACTATCTCCGTTCTTTAACAAAATGAATCTTGAAACATGCCCCACAACCGGAACGCTTTACATTTGAATTGCGGATCCTGTGATCACCCGGAAGAATATCTAAGGAATCAAAATACTTACTTGGTGGCCTTCCTTCCGTACTACACACATAAAATCGGGACGTACATACTATCAATCTTATTTATCTTCTTGTTAGATAAACGTACATCAAACCCAACTTCATTAGCATACTTTCGGTACATTTTCTTAGCTAATTCTACAGTCTCAAAATCATCACCCACCTTCGGCTTATATTTTGCGTCTACATTGGGAAACCAACATTTCGACCCATCGTTCGTTTCCCCCATGCCATCAAATCGATAATCTACAAAATCAAACAAATCAAAACTTTTTCAATACTAAATTACAGTTGGTCCATAACAGTAACGAATTTGTCTTCGTTCCATCTTTCCAACTAATGTTGGACTTGCAGGCTAGTTCTAAACCACCTTTGGTTGCCATGTTGAGGTCACAATTTCATTTGTATAACAAGAATATATGTTGTTTACTGCTAACTGACAAGTAAATGTGGAATTTGTCAAAAGTTACACCCTGGGCAATGCATCTCTATACACCATGTGCATATATTCTGCACCACCAGAGTTTATTGTAATGGAAACACTAATAGGTAATGCAATGTGTTCCATTTGCAATCCAACAAGAACAACATGGAGCAATGTAATATGGGAAGAAATTGAATCCTGTCACAGTAAAGAACCAACCCTTTATGCAACCATAATCTCCCAGACATCACACACATATTAACAGGTTTCAAGAAAGAACACCGGAAATTGATTCTCCTATATGTTTATGAAACCTGATTCACCACATAAGACTATATGTTACAGTGCATTCAAAGATTCACCACATAAGACTATATGTTACAGTGCATTCAAACATGTTTATGAAACCTGATTCACCATATAAAACAACATGTTACAGTGCATTAACATATAGGTTCATTAACAGCATGTTACATTGCATTTAGGTTCATTAACAGCAATTTTTAGGTTCATTAACAGGTTGTTACAGTGCATAAGACAAAAGCATATGAAACACGTTTCATAAACATATAGATAATTTAAAATGCAATAATCACTGCTTCAAGTCATGTTCTTTTACACTACTCAAACACGTTTCATTAACATATACACTTCTGAAACAATTTTCATTAAACATCAAAATTAATTCTTTGCATTCTTGTAAACAACAACAACAATAACAAAGTCGAGAGGTGTGCATCAATAACATCATCATCGACTGTTGTGTATTCTCAAAGTCAACCTGCAACAATAACAAAGTCGATCAATACCTTCAGATTCATTGCTCAACGATGCAACGTCATCATCAACAAAATCTACAAAAACTCCGTCGTTGTGCTCATGTAATGTTTCGTTTCGATCGTTACAGCCATCTTCATCTCTCATTGAATAATTGCATTGAACTTATATTGTTTCATCATTAACTGCGATTGCATTTTCACCAACGTAATCAAAACCTTGACAGTCGTTCATGGAATCGAAAACACCGATTTTTTCGACGATATCCTTAATGAAAATCTCGTTGAATGACATATAATCCATATGTTTAATATAGTGTTCTATAAAGCTACTGGAGAATTGTTAAAACTATTTAACAAACACCATCCAATTCATTTTGATGAAGTTATTATTTCATTTCCATAACTGATGAACCTATTAAGAGAAGCTGTAATGAGTAACCATAAATAGGATATAATTTATTTTTAATTAAAAATACTTATAATTATCTAATATTAGTATATGACATATTTAACTTTTTCAATTAAAAAATAATTTAAAAAAAAGAAATTCATTGATCGGTTGGAAATGGGTTGTAAGGGTTGCAACAATAGGGTGGGTTGCATTTGAAATATACCATATATGTTTTCGTGAGACCACATTTTTACACTTGAACTTTCACAACAAAAACGCTGTGAAGGTTAAAAAAAGTCACATTCATAGCATTATGCTGTGAAATTTCAAGTGTAAAAAGGCGGTCTCACGGGTCTCACGAAAACAGGCTGGTCTCACATGATC